CTTTGAGTTGGAGTTCTCTTCCCTTATCTACAGTTATAGTTTAACTTGTAGTCAACCAAGTCTTCCATAACAGCTCTGATTATTAAAGACCATTTTTGGTCAAATCAGAGAGTTAAGTCGCACGCTTCCATCCCAAAGCATTGCACCATGGGGATGTTCTCTAGCCCCTCGAGTTTGTTCATCACTTTTTATTACTAGCTACCCAAAGTCTGGCCCAATGCAAATCCATTTATTTATACACATTTATATCTACACAACTGTTCTACCTTCTCGACGTGGCCAGATGCCAGTGTAACCAGTTGAATTTGGAAGATCAACCGGTGCACAATGAAATGAGGTGAAGACTAAATTCAGTCTGTGGCCTCTCCAAACGCATCAAGTTAGTTATAGATGAGCAGACTTTGGAGGGCACGAGTAACTGTGCTCCAATAAGCAATATTTTATATATACATATATATATTATAATTTTATAGTAGGAACTGTCTCCCACTGTCCCAGCCATTAATTCCTGAATAAGAAAGACATGGGATCAGATGACTGGGATTTGGGAGATTTCAATGGTTGAGTTTGTGGATGCAAAAGTACAAATTACTGAAGGCTGGCCAAAACCACATCATGAAACCCCTAATTACTCATGCTGCCAAGTGGCATTTTAGCACAGATAATACACACATGAATATCCAAGATGTCATTTATCTTTGGTTTTGGATTATGTGCTATGACTGTTTCTTTTTGCATCATATTTTCCACATTCAATATTATTATTATTATCATTATTATTAACTTTACATAACCTCACAGCATTGCAGAATTGCAGAGATAGAAGAGATTTGGTGGATTAGTTGGTCTCATAATTTTCAAACTGTTTATTGAAGATTCAGTGTTCTGGAAAGAAGCCCTGGGGAGTAAGGGAAGGACAATTGGGGATTCAGGTCCCCTGTTATACAGATTGCAAACTGAGTCCCAGGGAGGCAGTGAGATCTCATAGGCTGGTTAGTGTCACAGCTGGTACTAGAACCTTGATCTTCTGGTTCTTAGAAAAAACAAGTATCTATGGTTTTAAGGTTTAAGACAATCATTCCAAAAATGCAAACCAATCTCAAAACCTAATAAAACTCATAGAGCTTTGAAAGATTTGGTCCAAGAATCACAGCAAAAATATTTCAAACACAAAATGTCTAATAGTAGTTTTAGACATTTGAGTTGTTGTCTATTTTACTCTATCAAAATTGGTCTGCAAATGTGGGGTTAGAAAAATACAGTGATCAGGCAGGGCACAGTGGCTCATGCCTGTAATCCCAGCACTTTGGGAGGCCAAGGAGGGAGGATCACCTGAGGTCAGGAGTTCAAGACCAGCCTGGATAACATGGTGAAACCCTGTCTCTACCAAAAATACAAAAATTAGCCGGGCATGGTGGCAGGCGCCTGTAATCCCAGCTACCAGGGAGGCTGAGGCAGGAGAATCAGTTGAACCTGGAAGGCGGAAGTTGCAGTGAGCCAAGATCGCACCACTGCACTCCAGCCTGGGTGACAGAGCAAGACTCTGTCTAAAAGAAAAAAAAAAAAGAAGAAGAAAAATACAGGATCAAGTGTGTCAGCCAAACTGCTGACCAGTGCTGACCAGTGCAATGTGTTTCTGTGTATGTGTGTGTGTGTATGTATGAAGTATGTGTCTGTTTGGTAGGTGTTTATGTGCATATGACTTGTGTGTGGACTGTGTGTGAGTGGAGTGTGTGTGTGGTATTGTGTCTGTAGGGTGTGGATGTTAAGTGTATGGCAGTGTGTGTGATACACGTATGTATAGAGTATGGGTGTTACGTTTGTGGGTACACACATGCAGTGTGACTATGTGTGTAATATGTGTGTCTGTACGGTGTGAATGCTAAGTATGTGCATGGCCGTGTGTACATGTGTTTATAGAGTATATGTGTGTTATGTGTATGGGTATGTACATGCAGTGTAACTATGTAATGCATATGTGTTTGTGTGTAGTGTGCATGTGTGTCTGGGTGGAAGGTGTGTGTGAATATGTTTGTGTATATCTGAGCATGTGTGTTGTGTATATTTCTGCATGGTTCTTGTGTTTGCATGTGGTGTCTGGAAATGAAGTGTGTGAGATACGTGTGTGTGCAGTGTGGATGTATGTTATGTGTATAGGTATGTGTTTGTGAATCTTTGTGTATAGTGTGTGTAGTGTGGGGGTCTTGGGGGGTGCATGTGTGTGTGTGAGAGAGAGAGGAGAGAAAAATTCAGAGACACACTGAAAAACATAAAAACAGAATGTCACAGACAGACAGAAAAAGATTTGTGGCCAGGCGTGTGGCTCATGCCTGTAATCCCAGCACTCTGGGAAATCTGGGAGGTGAATCACAAGGTCGGGGGTTCAAGACCAGCCTGGCCAAGATGGTGAAACCCTGTCTCTACTAAAAATACAAAAATTAGCCGGGTGTGGTGGCAGGCACTGGTAATCCCATCTACCCAGGAGGCCGAGGCAGATAATTGCTTGAACCTGGGAGGCAGAGGTTACAGTGAGCCAAGACTGTACCACTGCACTCCAGCCTGGGTGACAGAGCGAGACTCTATCTCAAAAAAAAAAAACAAAAAAAACCCAAAAACAACAAAACAACAAAAAACAAACAAAAAAAGATTTGTAATAGTCCCTAAATGATAAAAATAAAAACTCCCTCCTAGCTCTGAAGAGACAAGGATCAAGATTCCTGTTCTGGCTCCACTGCATACTGGTGCAAGATTTAGGGCAAGACATGCCACATCTTCACGGTATGACTTCCTCTTCAGTAAAATGCATAAATAATACAATATCTTTCTGGGACACTTGTGTTGAGAATTTCATGAGATAATATACAGAAAGTGTTTCAGAGAATGTCCAACACATACTTAGGTGTTTAAGAAATGGGAGCTATTATTATTGTTATGATTATTTTAATTATATCTATTTTTACTCCTATTATTTTTATTTATATATATATATTTTGAGATGAAGTCTTGGTCTGTCACCCAAGCTGGAGTGCAATGGCACGACCTTGGCTCACTGCAACACCCACCTCGCAGATTCAAGCAATTCTCCTGCCTCAGCCTCCCAAGTAGCTGGGATTACAGGGAACTGCCACCATGCCTGGCTAATTTTTTGTGTGTGTTTTTAATAGAGGCAGGGTTTCACCATGTTGGTCAGGCTAGTCTCGAACTCCTGACTTGAAGTCATCCACCCACCTTGGCCTCCCAAAGTGCTGAGATTATAGCCACTGCCCCCGGCCTTATTACTATTATTACTCAATTATATGCCACTTGTTCAAAATTGAAAATTTCCCACAAGGTAGATGTTTTCCAGCCCCCACCACTTACTCTTTTATTTGCTGGCAAGGTGTTTCTAGAATTATTTGACTTTCTATAAAAGTCTCCAAATATTTCAGGAGTAATTTTCAAGTACACGAACTTCTCAAATGTAGGATGCCATTGCTGTCATTGTGTTGATTTTTGAGAAAATAAATAAATACCAAAACAATGCAAGGAATGGTCACCATATCCCGAGTTTCCAGATGCATGATCTTCTCTCAGTGAAAGGAATGAAATTCTTTGTTCATCTTTCAGACTTGGCTTATTAAAGTAATTTCCACCAAGTTGTTTCTGACAGTTAATAAGGAGCATTTTAATTCACAGAGGAAACAGAGGAAAGGGGAAGGAAGCAAATATCTGCCTTCTATAAATCAGACTCTTTAAGGCATTGATTTCATTAAATATTTAAAATCCAATGATGTTTGGATTAGCGTCTCCATGTTACACAGCAGGACAGTGTGACTTCAGGAGATGATAAAATTTCCTGCCTAATGTGACACAGCCAGAAAATGGCAGAGTGAAGCCACGCTGCTTGGGCCCACCCAAGAATTTAGTCTTCTCATCCAAGAGCATTAAGAAAAATAACAAACAAAAGAGGTGGCATGATTCCATCCAGGAAAGATGGTAGCACCTGAAAATCCAGAATTTTCAGAGTGTGGTTCCATGGGCAGCTTAAAGGGAACACGATGGCCCACCCCCAGTGTGGCTTGGTTCACTTTCCTTGTCTTCTCCACAAACCAGCAGAAGGCCCCACCAGAGATAAAGCTCAGAATATACAAATGCAAAATTCACCCAGCCCAGGAACATCCAGAGACCAATAACTTCCTTGTCTCCCAATCTGGCTGTCTCCTTTCCTTTGGTAACCACCTCAGTTGTTTTCATTTCTCATTTCTTTTTCCCTGCATGTAGCCCTTGGCTTGTTTCCATGACACCCAGCTTCTAAATAGAAGCGATGTGAGATTTTCTGCTATAGCAACATTCCTTGGGTGTTAAAGTTGCTTTGTTTTAAAAAGGCTGATGGTGGCTTAGCCACAGAAGATTGAACATGATGCTTTGGCTCCTTGCTGGGGAGGCGCCCGTGGGACAGTGTCACCTGTCATTGGGAGACAAAAGTCATGCTCTGTCACTCTTTGGGTGGCAATTCTGTTGAAGTCACTAACCCTGCTTGCTCAAATTCTGCATCTGTGTCTGATGGGGTGCAGGCTCTTTTAGGGTTCTTTTCCAGATGTCTTTTGCGAACGCCACCCTCTGAGACAGAGATATGGGGTTTTAGGAACAACTTGGTAGTAAAAGTAGCTAACAGTGGGAGCAGCCAGTTCATGTTTATTCAAACGCACTGCACCCTCTCTCTCACCTCACACTTCTTTCAAGTCTTCCCATGTACACTCTGCCTCTTTCTTGAGATCAGATGCTGTCCCCTGTACTTGAGCACTCTTCCCTCACTTCTTTTACCTAGTGAGCTCTTATTTTTATTCTCCAGGCCTCAATTTACATATCTCCAACTTTCTCTAAGATTCCCTCCCTGCCCTCCCCAACCAAGCCCAGGTTACCACCCGCAGTGTGATCTCCTGCACCCTCTACGTGCCCTCCTTAGAACTCTTAACCCGCCATGTTGCTACTGTCTGTCCCACACCTCTCTTCCCCACCAGACCTTAAGGAAAAGAAGGACCAAGCCTGGATGTTGCCACTGTTGAATCTCCAGTACTCATTCCGGTTTTAGAAGAGACCAGACCCTCAACACATACGTGCTGGTTGAGGAAAGAGAGGCCTTCTGAGTACCATAGGAAGAGAGTCTAGGGAGGTGAGTACAAAATGGTGGCCACACTTTCCTCACAAGGGGGAAGAGATTCCTTGGCCTGCTGACCTTTGTCCCCTCTCCAGCCACCCCTGAAGATTCCATTCCAAGTCCTGGCACCATCAGAGAGTGAACTCTTTGATGGAGGCTTCCCACTTGCAGCGGAGAAGGCCCTCCCCTCCACCCACAGAAGGCCTGCTTCTCCCAGCTCCTCAGGCCTCACTCCTTGTGTGGTGCCTCCCGTCCATTTTCAGTCTGGGGCTGCGTCTGCTCTTGGAGTCAGGAGGGGAATGTCTGCGCCTTCTGCGGAGACACAGCGAGGGAACATGACGTTTCCCTTTGGCCCCAACCCTGAGCGTCATTGGTGTTGGCCTGAGATCAAAGCCGCTGTTCCATTTTTAACCTCGGTAGGGCCCCACCTCACCCTGAGCATGTGTTCCTGACATTTCATTGTGAGCCAGGGGAATAAACAAAACCCACCCCCTGAGTCTAGCGAAGGACGCCTTCGGGGGAGCTCTGAACTCGGCGAGGCAGATCAGTGCTTTTCCCACCGAGGGCCCCCCTTGTGTGCTGTGGTTTTTCCTGAGCTTACATGACACCACCATAAGGGAGATGGATGGCTTTATTTTTGTGCAGAACAAATGTGCAGATGGTGACCCCCGACCAAAAAAAAGAAAAAAACTTAGTGTGCAGAGGCAAGGGAGGAGGAGGCAAGGGGAGTCCATATTGGCCTCTCCTCTCCCTATCTTTTCTCTTCTCCTGGGTCTCCCGAAAACGTCGCCAAAGTCTCCATCTGTGGTTGTTGGGGATATTGACAGGAGCCCATTTTATTTTCAAATTATCTGTTCTTTGTGGTAAAAATAAAAACATGCTTTTAGAATTTTCAAGCAATTAAAAAAAGATATAAGGACGAAAGATGATGTCTGGTACAAATTAGAACTCAATAAATATTTGTGGAAGGAAGGGAAAAAAAAAATCCCTCCAAACTCCACCACTATCAATATTTTGATGAGCATCCTTCTATATATTTATGTGTATTCCAACTACATAACAAACATGATCATACTATATTCATATATAACATATTCATACTGTCTATGCACAATGAATACAGTACAATTGCTACTATAGTTACTATTTGCTGCTGTATTTACATAGAATGATTGCTATGTATATGAACATCATACGTTTATATTGTATACACACATATAGTATTTACTACCCCCTGTACTATACTATACTGTACTATAACATATGCTACAATGTCTTTTTTTTTTTTTTTTTTTTTGAGATGGAACCTCGCTCTGTCGCCCAGGCTAGGGTGCAGTGGTGCAATCTTGGCTCACTGCAACCTCTGCCTCCCAGGTTCAAGCAATTCTCCTGCCTCAGCCTTCTGAGTAGCTGGGATTGCAGGCACGCACCACCGTGCCTGGCTAATTTTTGTATTTTTAGTAGAGACAGCCAGGCTGCTCTTGAACTCCTGACCTCAGGTGATCTGCTCGCCACGGCCTCCCAAAGTGCTAGGATTACAGGCATGAGCCACCGCACCCCACCAGTATATGCTACTAGGCTTTTAAAAAGTGCCAGTAGCATGTTCCTATTGTACTCACATACAGGATCATACTGTTTGAGGTGTTTCGCTATTGGCCTGTTTACCATGTCCTGGACATCTTTCCATGTCTATGAATTTTAAAACAAATTCATCCCATTTTAAGGCTGCCAAGTAGCTATTTGTGTGGCTGTGCTATCACTTAACCACTCCAAGACAGCCACTTACAAAACTCCCACCTTAAAGTAAACTCCATACTTTTAATTTGTTTTTCTCTTGTGGCTCTGCCTCTCTGCTGTCTTGTAAGCCATATCCCTTTGAGGTTAGAGTTTTCTACTTCCTCAACTGCAAAGTTGTCAGCGTCAGAACAAGGGGTGCACATTTGCAGAAATTCTTTTGGATTTCTCTGTGGTGCTTTGGCTTAAAGAAAACAGTCCTCTCCTTTCTGCCTTCACCCACCTAATTTGTTTCCACATTTGTTTTTTTTTTTTTTTTTTTTTTTTTTTTTTTTTTTTGTGGTGGCAATGACTGCATCAGGCTTTAAAAGGATGGTGTCTGGAGATTCATAGCTTTTCAAAAGCTCTTTGTTTTTTTCTGATGAACAGCCAGAACTAAGAAACAGGAAGGCATAGAAAGAACATGGCCTCTCATGTTCAAAGGGGCCAAATTCTTGTTTGACCTTTGACCTCCCATGAAACAGTTTCCTCATCTGCAAAACTAGGGAGATTATAGTGAAGCCACCTTGCAGTGTTGTTATGAGGATTACAGTAAGTGAGTGCCTGACACACAGAACTCCTCAGCCATATCAGCTTCTCTGTCTGAGCGTGGTGTGAGGCAGGAGAGGAAAGGTTCTGGAATTAACCATATCTGGGTTTGAATCTGAGCTCAACCACTTCCTATTTTTTGTTATTTGTTTATTTTTAAAATTCTTTTAATTTTTTTGTTTTTATTTTTATTTTCTGAGACAGAGTCTTGCTCTGTCACCTGGGCCGGAGTGCAATGGCACAATCCCGGCTGACGGCAGCCTCTATCTCCCAGCTCAAGCAATCCCCCCACGTTAGCATCCTGAGTAGCTGGTACTATAGGCATGCACCACCATGCCTGGCTAATTTTTTTTTTTAAAAATTTTTAGTAGAGACAGGGTCTCACTAGGTTGCCCCAGTCAGGTGTGAAGCTCCTGGTCTCAATCTGTCCTCCCGCCTTGGCCTCCCAAAGTGCTGAGATTACAGACAAGAGCTGGGGTGCCTGACCCTTTTAAAATTCTTTTGTAGAGACAGAGGTCTCACTTGCTATGCTGCCTAGGCTGGTCTCAAACTCCTGGCCTCAAGCAGTCCTCCAGTTTTGGCCTCCCAAAGTGCTGGGATTACAGGCATGAGTCACCATATATGGCCTTCAACTTCTCTCCAGATAAGTGACTTAACCCCTCTAAGTTTCTGTTTTCTTTCTGTAAATTGGAGCTAAAATATTCATGAGACAGCAGAGTCATAAGGCTTACAGATAATGTCTGCAAAGGGCCTGGATCAGGGCACTCCAGTGGGAGCTGCTCTTATGATGCATTAGATTCTGACTCTTACCTCCAAACTTCAGGAAAAGCTTGAACTATCTTTTATTTCACATCTGTGGTCATGTTTTAGATGCCTATTTACATGTAGAACATGTTGGGACAGAATTCAGAAACTTCATTATAATCCTGCCTTTCCTATTTACTTCCTGAAAGACCTTCAGCAAGGCACCCTGGTTCCTACTTTTCTTGTTTCCCTAAATTGTTGATGCTATTTGTAATAAAAACACCACTGAATATATCCTTGGTACTTAACAGCTTACAAAGCATCTTTCATTATCATTATTCTATATGAACTTTCCAGCTACTGGGCCAAGGTTTACCAGTACACATTTAATACATCAATATTCTATCAACTTCAGAGCCCGTTTAAAATATGTTCATTTTTCTTTCTTAGAAAGCAAGTTATAGGCAAAGGGGTGAGAGTGGGTGTTAATATTTCCTGGGTTCTTCAGAGTACTTCCTTGTTCACCCAACTAGCATTGTGTAATTGGTAGACACATACTAGTTACTGTACTACAATCTGAGGATAAAATAAGATATTGTCATGACTTTCAAAAGTCTCCTTGGCTGGGCATAGTGGCTCACACCTGTAATCCCAGCACTTTGGGAGGCCAAGGCAGGAGGATCGCCTGAGCCCAAGAGTTGGAGACCAGCCTGGGCCCCACCCAGTGAGGCCCCACCTCTACAAATAAAAAAAAAAAATAGCCAGGTGTGGTGGCACACGCCTGTGGTCCCAGCTAGTTGGGAGGCTGAGGTAGGAGGTTTGCTTGAGGCTGGGAGGTCAAGGCTGCAGTGAGCCATGATCGTGCCACCACACTTCAGCCCAGACAACCGAGCAAGAACCTGTCTAAAAAAAAAAATCTTTTTAAATGGGAAAGATGTACATGTACACTGGAGCATGGAAAATATTCTAATCAAGATGTGCAGGGTAAAGTTGAAATACTAATGAGCAGATATCTGGCCCTGGGGGTGGAGGCCAGTGTTAGAAAAGGTTTTAGGATAAGCAAAGTCTTGAGTTTATCTTCAATGAAAAGAGTTCATTTCATCCAAATGGGGCTGGTGGGGAGCAGAAGAAATGGGGGTCAGGAAGGGAGTTCGTGGAAGACAGTGCAGTGTGTTTAAAGGCTTGGAGGCAGGCCCTGCTATGGTGTTTTCAGGGGACTCCAAGAAGTCTATAGAGTGGTATGTGGGGGCGAGCAGGAGATGAAACCAAAACCGTCAGCCATGGCCAGAACTTGGAGAACCTCGTATTCCCTGTTGAAGAATCTGGGCTCTTCTGAGAGCCATGGTGGGTTTTACATGGGGGAATAGGATGGCCCAAGTTGTGTTTCTGGATGGCTGGATTTAAGATGGTGACCCAGAGGCAGGATTTGGGCCGAAGTGGTTTATTTGGGATGTGATCCCAGGAAGCAATGGGAGGGATGGGGAAGTGAGATAGGGAAGGAGAGAAAACCAATGAAGGCTGCACTGTAATGAAAGCTGCACCACCAGGGCAAGGGAAGCCCTATTCCTCCCCGTTCACATATACAGGCACACATACACATACACATGCCCTATTGGGTCTGTTTCTCTGGAGAACTCTGAAAAATACAAAAAGTCAATATTCTTTGTATGTAAGTTCTCTGAATACAGAAATGGCCACATGACACAAGCCTAGACAATCAGAATCCTGCACTGGCTCCTCTGCCCTTTGCATCCTTTAATCTTTCCCACTGGTGCCATCAGAGCCCGCGCTGAGTCTGGCTTTGAAGAGGATTGAAGAATTGGGTTAGAACTCCATCTGATGCTGACCTGGCCTGACCTCCAAACACCGCTTCTCCCACTACGCCCAAGATTAAGGAACTACCTCCGTGTTTGGGGACAGCTGTCCCACCTACCTGAACGCTCACTGTA